GCGGTCCTGTTTGGTGGACTGCCGGGGCGCGCGGGTCTGCGCGTTGGTCGCGGGGCTGCCGGACGCCGGACACCAGACCATCCGCGCCGGCTCCAAGGCTGAACGATTGGACCTGACCACCGTCCTGGCTCGCACTCGTGCCGTTCTCAGTGATGAACGGGTATCGGCGGCGGCGGTGCTGCGACGGGCCGCGGCGCCGTCCCCCGACCAGCACCGCCGTCGCCGCACGGTCAACGGCCACGCGTCCCGCGTCACCTGCGCTGCTGGGCTTGCGGAAAGCTCGGTCACACCGCGGCGAGGTGCCAGCAGCGACCGGGAAACGGATCCGGAGGGGACGGGTTAGCACCGCCGCCCTCTCCTGCGCAGCACTGAGCGGCGGGTGCGCTGCCCGTCACGCGGTTGAGGGTGGATGGCCAGGAGTGCAACACCCTGATTGACACCGGCAGCACAGAAAACATCATCTACGCTCCCTTCTGCGCGCGGTGGACGTCACGGCAGGTGCGAGTGACTACCATCAGTGGAAGTAAGCTGAGGTGCTGCGGGGTCGGCAGTGTGATTGTGGATGTGCCGAAGGGCCGTCGCGCCTCGCTCGAGACGGTGGTGGTGGGGAAGCGGCCGCTGGGGGTGGACATAGTCCTCGGGGTGGCAGGCGTCTCGGCGCTGGGGTGTGTGCCGTACTGTCCCCATCTGAGGTTCGCTTTTGTGGGGCCGCGTGTCGTGTGCCGCTGAGCCTGGATGCCTCGGATTTCAGTGTGCTCTTCGACGCGGCGGAGCGGAGGTGGACCGTTACTTGGAAATGGTCAGACGGCGAGGAACCGGAGTGTCTGACGAACACTGTCGCCCAGTATGCTGTGCCGCCGGCCGCTCGTCGCGAGTATGACGCCGAGTTGGACGCGTGGGTCGCACAGGGTTGGCTGGTGCCGTATGATGGGGGTCGCCATGGGACGGCGCGGGGCTGGTACCGTTGATGGCCGTGCAGCAGTGCAGCGAATCCAAGGTGCGCCGGTGATGGACTACTGCGAGCTGAACGGTTTTGTGACGGCCCACACAGCCGACACTGACGTGTGTGCTGCTCAGCTCCGGAGATGGCACCGCCGAGGTGCTAACGTGGCGGTGGTAGATCTCAAGCGTGCGTACCTGCAGGTGCATGTAGAGGAGCGGCTCTGGCCGTTCCAGACTGTGGTGATTCGGGGCCAGCAGTTTTGTTTGACGCGCTTGGGTTTCGGCCTGAACATCGCCCCTCTGGTGATGAAGGCCGTTGTGCGGTCAGTGCTGGAGCAGGACCCAGACGTACAGCGTTCTGTCCTTCCATGCGTGGATGATCTCCTCGTAAATGAGGATGTGCTCAGTACAGAGCGCGTGGTGGCCCACTTCGCGGAGTTTGGGCTAGACTGTAAGCCTCCGGAGCGAGCGGCCAGCGGGGCGCGGCTGTTGGGCCTGCGCGTCCAGGCAGAGGGCAGAGAGCTGCGATGGATGCGGGACAACCCGGTGGGCGCGCCGTCGGCTCGCGTGACGTCTCGCGCCGTGTTTGCGTGGTGTGGGCGACTGGTCGCCCACCTGCCCGTGTGCGGATGGCTTAGGCCTGCAGCGGTCTGGCTCAAACGGCGTGTGAACCAACTGACGCGGACGTGGGATGACGCCACCGATGATGCAGCGCTGCGCGCTCAGATGGACTACGTCGCAGGACGTAGTCCATCCAGGCCTGAATGGTGACAACCCGGCCCGCGGCGCGCGGTGCGTGGAGGGTGAAGACATGGTCATCTGGACGGACGCGAGTTCTCTGGCCACGGGGTTCGTGGAAGAGTCGGCGGCCGGTGACGTCACCGAGGACACGTGCTGGCTGAGACGGGATGAAGCCACGCACATCAACATGGCCGAGCTGGACGCGGCCACCCGAGGCGTCGACCTGGCCGTCGCCTGGGGAGCACGGACAATCGGCCTCCGCACCGACTCGGCTACCGTTCATCGCTGGCTTGATGACGCCATCAGTGGTCGCGCGCGCCTCCGCACCAAGGCACACGGCGAGCTGCTGATCCGGCGGCGCGTCGAAATTGTCTGTCAGCTGGTCAGTGAGTTGCGGCTGCGGTTGTCGGTGGCGCTCGTGCGATCGGTGGAGAACCGAACTGACACGCTGACGCGCGTGCCCAAGGAGTGGCTCCGCGATGCGAGCGCAACTCCTGTGGGCGAGCCACCGCCACCGGGCGTCAGCACGGCGACCGTGGGCGAGCTGCCGCCGCCCGGTGATAACGCGGCGCATGCCGGCGGTGGCGCAGGGAACGTGCTTGGTGCGTCGGTCCGAGAGTCGCACGAGCGGGCGGGTCGCCCAGGAGTTCGTCTAACTCTGTACTTCGCACGCCGTGACATGTCGCGTGACGTCACGCGAGCCGTAGCACGTGCGGTGGTGGAGAACTGCGTGATGCGTGCAGCTCGATCGACTCGGCGCCGGTGCGGTGGCGGCACGGCTCGCTCGGCGTGGCTGCCACGTGGCAGCGCATCGCGATAGACGTCCCCCACCACAACGCACAGAGCTGCCTCACCATCATCGACTGCGGACCATCCTGCTTCTCCGTGTGGCACCCCCTGCCGCGCCGCGCCGGTGCAGCCGAGACGGCGGAGTCCGCGCCAGCGTCGGGAGTATATCGGTACTCTGCACGGGATTGTGTCCGGCCGGTGCCGGCGGGCGCCGCTGAGGCTGGAGAATCACGCCCACCCGTGTCTGACGGTGCGCATCTCAGAGTTGGGGACCGAGTGTGGATGTGTCGCCGAAGCACGCGCTGCACGGAAACGTCGCGTCGCGGGACAGTGACGGGCGTGGTGTCGCGGCAGGCGGTAGAGGTCAACGGTGTGCCGTGGCATGTGAGAGTCATTCGACCTCTGTGCGGAGGGGGCGAAGACGGCGACGGGACGGGGGCAGTGACAGTGCTGACGATGGGCTGCCGATGTACGTGTCAGCTGATGTCGTGATGAGCTGCCGATGTACGTGTCAGCTGATGTAGTGATGAGCTGCCGATGTACGTGTCAGCTGATGTCGTGATGAGCTGCCGATGTACGTGTCAGCTGATGTCGTGATGAGTTGCCGATGTACGTGTCAGCTGATGTCGTGATGAGCTGCCGATGTACGTGTCAGCTGATGTCGTGAGGAGCTGCCGATGTACGTGTCAGCTGATGTCGTGATGAGCTGCCGATGTACGTGTCAGCTGATGTCGTGATGAGCTGCCGATGTACGTGTCGTGTATGGACTGTGCGCCGGAAGCGGAGGACGGTGCTGGCGCGGCTGTGGACGCGCCTGAGCCGGCAGACCGTGCGGTTGGGCCGGTCAGGGACGACCGGGTGCCACTACGCCGGAGCGCCCGCCTGCGGAGGGCGCCGCAGCGCTACTGTTGTAATGATCCGTAATGCGCTGTTGTGATCCATGAGAATAAGGGGAGGGGGTTGTCATGCGGCCGCGCGGGCCGGCTGTGTTTATGCCTCCGGGCCATTATCCACGTGGCCTGGCCGAGGTCGCGTGTGCGGACCGGAGCGGCCGCAGACTAGAGGTAGGGACGGCCGGTTGAGGTCGGGGGCTAAACCTGTCCTGAGCAAGTGCTGGGCGTTGTTCCGTAATTAATATCCGAATCGTGATTTACATACAAACACCCCGGACATGAATTACCGGCGCATGCGGCATATGCGCATCGGCTCCCTGCACATGATGAAGCCTGCTTGGATATGATACCCTACCAATATGATGTCCTGCAGCAAAGAGCACATGTCCAGCGCTGCTCGGGTGCGAGACATATACCACCTAAATAATGCGGGTGTAAGATGTGCGCGAGCGCCTCTCGCGTCCGCCAAGTCTGACCAGTTCACTATTAACGAGACAGCGTTCCCCAATGGTAACCTTCCCATGCGCCAAATTTGACGTTTGCAGTTCGACGTATTGACGCAGCGGATGTGCTCATTCTGAGACGGAGCTCGGGCCTGACGGATATGTCGGACACCACGCGCCACCTTTGAAACAACGGCAATGGAGTACGGATCACGCCGGGCAGTTCAGTGTGGTGTACAGTGGAATATAGTTAAGTGTACTAGGGAAGAGTAAATTGCTTGAGTGAGCTTGTACTTGGCTTACAGGTTACTTTTACCGCTCTGCCCATTCTAGAAAGAAATTGCACATCAGTGAAATCGGCTTTTGTAAAAAGCTATTTTTCCTACCCCAGTTTTGTGAAGGGAGGCCACTTTGCAGCTCCGCGATATTTTTCGCCAGATGGGTCCACTGTCTCGTGAATAATGTCGCTAAGAAGCAAAGGGGACAGACGATTCTGACCCCCAAAGCTGTGGTAAAGGAAACCTTGCACAAAAATTAACACATCCAGCTCCAAAAGACCTTAAGATTAACACGACCATACGTACAAGCGCGTTGCAAGCTCAACAGTGCGGCCAGCACAGTTTTCACAGCTTGATGGGCCTGGCGAGCCGCTCAGCGTGCCACAGAATCTATTGCTCTCTTCGCTGCCGCTGCCCAAGAGGCACGGAGGATGCAGATACGCTATCGTGTCCGGCTCGCGATAGCCGTGTGATTGCACGCTGCGGGAGTTAGTGCAGCTGGCCACGCCTTACGAGATGGCTGACAACCCAGACGTCCCGGCAAATGTCTGGTAGCAGGTATCCGCTACAGGTGTTGTATTAGACTGGTATTCTGTTAGTGTGTAGTAGGTAGACACTGCATGCCTTCCAGGGCGTAAACATTATCCAGATGGTCCGGCGAAGAGGTGTAACCATTGAAGGGGGGGGGGGATTTAAGCGCTCCTTTGGTTCGTCATGTCCCCACCCTTGTGTTGCGGCAACGGCGATCCTATTGTTGCAACGCCTCCTCTGTCACCAGTTTGCCCCTTAGATCCCCGACCGTAATGACACTGTTATTGTGTAATCCTATGACGCCTCATGCTGACGCCACAAATGACGTCATGGTTTGAGATTAGACCTGCACACCAATTTGCGAGCATCGCCCGCCTGCTCACCCCAGAACGCCATGAAGATGGAGAAGAAGACGGTGGCCGGATTGTCGAAGAGGTAGGTGATTTGCGAGAAGAAGCAGGACGCCTTCAGGTCCCAGTACTCACACGCTTTGTTACACAGTGGGCACATAGTCACGTTGCTGTGGCAGATTTCGATGCTGAAAAATAATAGCATGTTGTTAACAGTCTTATGTGCTGCATATGCATCAAATTAGACTGCGGCATCATTCCAAATTTCATGTTCAAGATCGCTTGAGGCTAGGCATCAATTTCCACCGTCGTTTTCAATCTAAAACATTATTTTCATATCTTGCGAACGGGTAAAACACTGTGTGCCTCAAAATACTGGACAATTAGTAGTTCAACGAGTTTTTTAACCCGCGCCCGGGTGGCCGCCTAGATACCCCGCGCTCGGGCGGGGGGGGGGGTTCGATTTGACCCCCTAAAATCTCGGGAACTAAGAAAGCTAGACACCAAATATACAGGGTGTGTCGACCTGCACGTGAACTCACTCGGGTCAAAATTTTAGGTTCCTAGGTCATGACTTTCGTGTCAAAAAAATGTCAAACAAGGTCAAATTCCAGGTTGGTCACTTACGTATCCCCAGAACCTAGATAACCGTTTCTAAGCAAAAGGTCGCGTTCTCATTCAAGGTCAGTGGCCTTGTTTGACCTTTTGAAGGTCAAGGTTACCAAAATCATACAAGATTGCGTTGAGTTTTGCATTTGACTGAGCGACAAAGATAACGCTGGGCAGTATGTTCCTAAAACAAAATGTTGACCCAAATCATTTTAGGTCAATGACCTGTTCTGACCTCTAAGAAGTCCATGGAAGATGTATAATGCGATTCCTGCTATCAACAAACTCGAAATGAGCACCAGAAACTATCCCATGCAGCAAGCCCTGGAGTAACAAAATAGGTTTGTTTTGACCTTGGTGCGACCTTCATACCTGACCTTAGGTCAATGCACTTTACTCATTCAATTGTTGTGCTGCCTAAGAAAGCATCTCGGAGATGTATGGCTTCGTTTAACACTCCGATGTTGGATCAGATTGGAGGATTCCCTAGAAATTGCCTTCGCTGGAACCATGGTCCGGCTTTGACCTGCCATAGGTCAGCGACCTTACAAGGTGCATCTAATTTTTTTCAAATCAAACGATCCGATATTCAATTCCCTACAGCGATGGAAAATTTGGCGCGGCTTCGCCGCGCCGTTCGGAAGCCATTCTGGAAAACCTTCGGGGGGTCAGTTTGACCCCCACCCGAGCGCGTGTTAAAGGGGTGCAACTTTTCCAAACAAACAAGTGGGAGCAATTTGGAGTTCGTTTTTTTACCACAATGCCCATGTCGGCATCATGCCAAGGCTCAGAAACCCGGGGGAAGGAGCCTGCAGCTCTATGCCTAGCCCGGTAGTCTGACGGGCGGCATTCCTATACGTTTCGAGAGGAAGGGGCCTCCCAAATATACAGAAAATTGAAGAAAAAAATACACTATCTAGTCTCATACCTGACAACAGCTGAAAGTTTGGACTGACAAAGGATTAACTGCATTCAGCTGTGGCAGAGTTCAATAGTTGTCAGCGACTTAATCGCAATGTGCCCGTTTAGAGTCCAACGTGGTTGCGACGAGAAAGGTGCCACGGGCAAGCAAACTCTACCAAAATTGGAAATCATACACCAATAACTGGCGCGTGTCGCACCAAAACATGTCCGCCTTTGCGTATGTATGGACTTAAGGCATGCTTTCATCAGTCGTGCCAATGCGCAGGGAGCCACCAACCCATTGTTAATGCCGACACATGCAGAGAATATAGACTGCGAATCAAGGCAACTTGTTCCTTCTTTGCCAATTTACCTGGGGTTGTACAAGTTATCATTGTTGACCATGAAGAGGCCGATTATGAAGACTAGGACGCCAACGATGGCAGCCGGCACCAACATGGCCGTGTAGAAGCCAAGCCAGGCGAAGTAGAGGCCGATCTTGTCGCCGAAATACTTCCTCACCAACCAGAGCGGCTGTTTCTTGTGAATGCAGGCAGGCCGCGCCCACTCCAGGTACAGAAGCTGCCGCCGAGGCACAGCTTAAATAGCGCGCCGCCGTTATCGTGGTAGGCAGAATGCCGTTTGTCGACATGACCTCAGCGTAAGCAGGTTCACGATATGGGATGCCGCGCAGGTTGTTGCCACAGTGTTCCATGGATGAGGGCTTCCCAAAGACGTATTTCTAATGCTTCAAAGTAATGTCCAAGCTCATGTAAGATCAAAACACTAGGTCAAGACAGGCCAGGCCAGGTTAATTTAATTGTAATTATGCTGCCTTACACATAAAGCGCAGAAAAGCCTGGTAAACAACGAAAGCAGCGAGTTTTGAGGCTTGCGTGCGTACGTGTCTGTTTCACATAACAGGACACGTATTTACATTTTGGCGTCGGCTTACATCCGTCCATTCGCGAAATTAAACTGAACGACGTCGAACGCAGTTGCCATGAGGTACTGGGCGGCCGACGCACGCAAGCACTTTGTCACTCGCGTCTTTTAAGTGCAAACTGTACAACCATTTAGCTAAAACTTGATGAATATATGTATGTGTGTATGTGTGAGTGTGCCTGAGGCTTGTGTTGCATATGTGCTGTGATGTATTCCTGTGTGGTTGTTGCTACGAGAGTCCATTTGACATACCTCCCCACTTAAACCTTATCAACTTGACACTCGGAAAAGACCTTTATGTCGGAGAGTATTTCAGACGCCAATGCATACATACAAACATACAAGCAGCCACCACGGCTGGTAAGTTAGGCATTTACGCGTTTGTCAGCGTCGCATTCATATTGGCAAGACTTTACGGCTTTAGCGTCATTGCTTGGATGTCATTGCCATTGCTTGGATTTAATCAGGTGAAACAAAGGGGTAAAGCTTTCCCAATCATCGCAGGTGCAGCTTTTATGCAGCTTTCCCAATTACTACATTGGCATGCTTCTACAGCCATGTTCTCTGATCGTCGAATGAAGAACATGCATCAAAGTGTCTTTACTCTTCTGGACACCTAGCAAATCGCAATCGACAGCGTCTGCAAAAGTGAGCGCTAGGGGAGCTGCTCACTTTTGCCTGGAGCTGAGGAGCTGTCATAATTTTTCAGCCTTCCAAAGTTTCTGCGTCGGAATTAGAAAACAAAAGAGGTCGTGGCGTTCGTGAGGGGTTCGCCATGCCGGGGCTTCAGCATTATGAAGACCATGACGCTACGTCAGAGCATAGGCATCGGTGCAGTCCTTGTCACACTCGCCGCCTGTGCGTCACGCCATGGCCGCGCACGGGCCGCACTCTCACCCGTCTGTCGTTGGGCGTGCCACTGCCGTCGTCCTCCTTGTAGCTGCCGTCGTGCAGGGGGAAGGCCGCCACGAACGCGCCGTTGTTGAGGAGGCGGTTGATGCCGACCTTGGAGCGGTCGTTGACGTGCGCTGAGTCCGTGTATTTGGTGCGCATCAGGATCTGCCACACGATCTGCGACCGTTGCGCCGAGGTGAAGAACGTCTCGCGGCTCTTGATGACGAACCTGGCCAGGGACAGACTCAGTGTCGCGAGGGCAGGAGCGAGAGGCGCGAGCAGCACCGCGACTCTTGGCACTACGGTGCAAACGCTGCCCAGCCGCCCACGTTTTGCCACTTGGTCGGTTATGACGTGATCAATACCGCTACTGGCACCGCACAGAGCACATATACTGCATAATTTGCGCGCAGCGTTCACGCATGAGAAGGCCACAACAGGCCACACGAGCTGGTCATTCTTCAAGGAGAAACACACACAAAAAGACGCTCAGAATATAGCCGTTGCGCAAGACGTTTGATAGACTGGCTATGGGATGTCTATCACTCATTCCGATCGGACAACATGGGACCGCCACTGCTGCCGACTCTCCCATGACCCGCCGCGGTGCCGGAAGACCTCCTCTCGACGAGTCGATGCCCGCAGTGAACCGCACATGACCTACTGGTGCTCTCTGTGTCGGTTGAACCCGGCCGTGAAGTACTCCGGCTCCGGGGGAATCAAGTTGGTGTCGTAGCTGAAGGGGTTCTTCATGCCCGGACAGCAGGGCGGCCCGTCGTCCTCGTCCGGCTCGTCTTCCTACGGAACACCGATGATGCCGAGTGAGGCCCACTGGCGACCGACAGCCTCCCTGGGATGCGTCTGACCGACAGTTGGACGGGAATGGCTGCGTTCTGGGAGCTGCGGCAGCGGTCCCGGCGCTCGGGGCAGACAATCGACGTGGCCCGATTCGGGGAAGCACCAGACCATCCTCATCATGAACGGTGCCTGGTTCCTGCTAGGAAGAGAACGTAGTGAATACAGCGTTACATGCAACTGTGACCCGTTCTAGCCCTCACCGGCTAAGGGGGCTGATGTTGTCCCCAAGCAGCATTTCTAAGATTACGAGAAAAAGAGAACGATTACCAGCTGTGCCGTGCAAAATGGCGAAGCTGACCATGCATTCAATGTGCGCCGCTTGCGAAGCGAAAATGGCCCCACGTCGTGGCAAATCCCAGAACTATATCTTAGTCTATGAGACCTGCGCAGCGCTGATTTACGACAAATCGCTTCTTTGCTGCCTGATGACAATGTTTGCATCGTTGATGCTTAGTGGCAACAAGACACGAATGACGTTTTACTCCTTCATGGCAATGAATGGTACTTCTGGGCACGACACCTGATGCAATGATAGACTAGCAGCGCGCAGGTCGTTTTCTACTTGTTGACAACTATTCAAGACCAAACGAGGCCAATACACTTCCGTGACCTTCCTTAAACTTGGGCGGTCCTATATCACCTTATTTGCAACAGAGACTGATTCAGAATGTACTTCCAACCCACCTGGCTAAAAGGTTTGAAAATTTGCGCCTAAGTCCATATTTGTTCTTGGCTTTTGGCTCTCAGTCATTAAGGGGGCCTGACCTAGATGGATCCCAGCTGCCCCAGTGTGCCACATTGGAAATCGCCGGGCTTCCTTCACACGAGGATGTTCGTTGTTTTTTGCACGAGTCGAACTCGATTCAGGACTTCCTGACTAGAGATACCAATCCTTCGCTTCCCCATCGCTGCTCGCAGGCCAGTGAAGCGATTAAGCATAGGTCCTGCATGATAAGGGCTAAATAATATGCATAGTAGGCTCACGTGCATAGCCAATTGGTCTCAACACAATATAATGTGCGTCATTTTAGCGCTATATTCCTACTCCAATTCATTGTCGGGTTGTGATTTCCAACAGTAATATGTCGAGATCAAGCGTATTGATCTTTTCACGAATCTCAAATCTTCTTTTGTCTATGCCACTTAGTTTAACCTCTATAGGTCAATGAAGGGTCAAAATTTAGGATCCTGGCATTCCTTCATTTTTTTTCAAAAAATCCAATTAAGTGGGTATCATTGTAATCCTCGTGATGCCACTTCCGTCACAACTACAAAACTGTATTATCAAGGTCAAAGGTCAAGTCCAGATGCAATGAAATACCCTGGCATTTCTTCGCCTAAATAGAACTTGCAACGAAAAGGGCGTCATAGTGATGCCCGTCGTGCCCTCTTTCATCATGTGCAAAAACTAACCTTCAACATTAAAGATAGATGTCACATAATTCGCGATACCCTGGCATTGGTTCTTTAACATTAAAATGCAACAAAGTTGTGTCAAAGTGATGCTCGCGGTGTTCGCATTCGTCCCACCTGCTAAAACTAATTAATAAGGCCAAAAGTCAAGGTCATACAAAACGAGGTACATCGACATTTATTTCTTAACCAAAGAATTGAACAAAATGGGTATCATAGTGATGCTCGTGTTTTCTACTTCCGTCACACCAGAAAGTGGGTCAAAGGTGAAGGTCACATAAAAAGCAGATCCTTGGACTTAATTTGTTCACTCAAGGAACAAAAAAAGCGGACATCATATTGAGGCTTGTAATATCTGTTTTCCTCATACAGAAAGAGCTCAAGAGCTTTTCCTAGCTCAAAGGTCAGTGTCACACAAAACGCTGTACTCTTGCATTCACAAGTTCACTTAAGCCGTGCGATATAATGGGCATCATCAAGGTCGTCGTGATGTCCACTTTCGACACATCTAGAAAAGTTGCTTTCAAGATTAAAGTTCATGGTCACAAAACGCGACATCCTAGCTTTTTTACGAAAGAAATGCAACATAAATCGGGCCGCACTACACACACGCGCCCGGGTGGCTGGTCAAATACCCTTCGCTCGGGTAAAAGGGGTTAATTTGACCCCCCCCTGATATCTCAGGAACTGAGAGAGCTAGAGTCACCAAATTCAGTGCATCTTGACCTGTACGTGAACTCATTTACGTCAAAGTTTGAGATCCTAGAACATGATCTTCGGATCGCATATGGTCAAACAAGGTCAAATTACAGGTTGGTTTCCAAAGAAACCTTTAAACCTACATGACTGCTCTAAGTCAATGGTCACCTGCTCATTTAAGCTCAGTGATCTTGCTTGACTTTTTTAAGGTGACCAAAATTATACAAGACAGCATTGAGTTTTGGATGTATATAAGCGGCAAATATTAGGCTGAGCAGCATGTACCTAAAGACAATGTGTTGACCTTGGTCATTTTAGGTCAGTGACCTACATGGACCTTTAAGAAGTCCGTGAAAGGTGCATGATACGGCTCCCGTTATCAATAAATCTGAAATGAGCACCAGAAGCTACCCCATACAGCAAACCCCAGAGTAATAAAACAGGTCGGTCTTGACCTTGAACTGACATTTACACCTGACTCTAGGTCAATACAATTTGCTCATCCAAGTATTGTGTTGCCTTAGAAAGTATCTCAGAAATGTACGGCTTCGTCGAACACTCCGTCGTTGGATCAGATTGAACGATTCCCCAAAATTGCCTTCGCTGTAACCATGGTCTGGCTTTGACCTACCATAGGTCAGTGACGTTACAAATTAAATCTAATTTTTTGTGCCAAACAATCCACTATTTAACTGGCCACAGCTACACAAAATTTGGCTCGGCTGCGCCGCACCGTTCGGAAATCATTCCGGAAATACCTTCGGGAGGTCAAATTGATCCCCACCCGAGCGCGTGTTAACGCTCGTGACGAGCATTTTTGTCACACTTGGGAAAGTAAACTCTTCACTGCAAAACGGGAATCATATCAATGCCTAGAATGTTTGCTTTCGTGGCATTTTGAAAAACGAACTCTCAAGTTCAATGATCAAGGTGGCGCACAGCGCACTGCCTTAACATTTATTCGTACACTTAAAAAGCAAAACAAAACAAGTTGTGTCGTAGTGTTGCTCGTGATGTCACCTTTCAGAGAGAGAGAGAGAGAGAGAGAGAGAGAGAGAGAGAGAGAGAGAGAGAGAGAGAGAGAGAGAGAGAGAGAGAGAGAGAGAGAGAGAGAGAGAGAGAGAGGGAGAGAGAGAGAGAGAGAGAGAGAGAGAGTGAGAGGGAAAGAGAGAGAGAAAGAGATTATATATATGTATATATATATATGCATATATATATATATATATATATATATATATATATATATATATATATATATATATATATATTTGTACCGGCATTCTCCTTGATAAATAAATCAATCGTATGCTACCGAGCCTTTTGTGACCTTAACCTTTGACCTCTAAACAAACTTTCAATAGGCGTAATGAAAGTGGACATCATAAAAGCTGCTAGGATGGACTATATGTCTATAATTGGCTTCAGCGAATACTCGACAGGATACTGCGTTTTGTGGCCTTTACCTTTGACCTTAAAATAAATTAACGAAACTGTGTGGCGAAGCTGTGCGACGAAAGTGGATAACCACTATAATGCCCATCTAGTTGCATTTTTCATAAACGAATTAAGGTCAGGGTACCGTATGTTGTGTGACCTTGACCTATGACCGTGCGACATAGGCTTTCCATGTTTGACGAAAGCGAACATCACAAACATCGACAAAACACGACTTGCGTTGCAATTTGTTTGACAAATAGATAAATCTCGCATTTTTATGTAATTGGCCTTTGACCTTGAATTAAACTTGTTCTAGATGTGACGAAAATAAACATCACATCTTCCACTATGATAACCGGCTTGTTGCAACTCTTAAGTAAGCGAATAAATGCCAGAATGCCACGTTTTGTGTGATCGTGACCTTTGACTTTCTTTTTAGTTTTTGCAGGTGTCACGAAAGCGGTCATCTGGAGCATCACTTTCACGGTTATTTTATTGCATTTTGTTGATAAAGAAATAAATGCTAAGATACTGTGCTTTGTTGGACCTTACCCTTTGGGCTTGAAAGTTGGTTTTTTTGCAGATGTGATGAAACAGGTCATCAATACATCAATATGGCACCCTTTTAGTTGCACTTTCCTCATCACTAAAAAATGTTCGGGTATCCCATTCTATGTGACCTTGACGTTCGGCTTTGAGAGTGAGCTTTGTTGTTTTGACGAAAGTGGGAATCACGACTATCGATACAAAACATTTTGTAATGTCCCATGTTTCAGAACGCTTGCAAAATGTTCTCAGTCATCGTACCTAAACTTGGCAATGGCACTTCAAATCTCCTCATAAGGTCGAGGCAATTCGCTTATAGGCGTAGACCCGAAAGCCCAGTGATGCAGCTACGGCCTTCAAAACGGCAAGCAGTAGTCACTGCGGGGTTCAGACCCATCAATAATGAAAAAGTCGTTTTCCGCGGATGGCCTTGTCATGTGGTCTTACTTGGCGTAGTTGATAAAATGATCAGGTGTGGTCTCAAACAAGTCCTGGGTCATGTGCCATCATGCAAGAATGACGAGACCAGTTTCAAAGGCCAACGGTCTTTACTCGCTGGAGCCACTTCTACATTGGTCAGCACGAACCCATTCAAACACGAAAACGCCACGCATTAAACACACTGTCACATCTACGGTACATCAATTTCAGCAAGTGGGCATGTCTGGAGTGAAAATGCTCTTGCGGGGAGGTGTGTGGCTTGAAGTCACATGTGTGCTTCGATCACACCACCAGCAAGCACAAACTCCCTGACTCAAAGAATGGCTGCACGAGAAGACGTGACCGGTGGAGATACAACAGCCAGTACGCCGCTTTGCAGAGCCTGTCGGGGTGAACGGTGATCGACCATTCATGCAGGATCAGTCCACTTTGAATGGGAAGGTTATACACGAAGCAGCTGGCAACAGGTAGTCCGCAGGTGCATATGTGTACCTTGAGAGAAAACAAAGAATGCTGCAGGTGTGAAACAATGATTGAATCGCTGTAAATCAGGGTATGAAAATAACACTGCGTGAGCGCATGGGTAGAACATCTGGCAGGGAGGTGATAGGGCAAGCGAATAAAGATGATCCCTTCGCTGAAACGTACAACCGGGCACCCGAACAACAGCTTTACAACATCTACGGGACTTACCCAAGCATGGTTCACCACCACAAACTTCTGCAATGATACAGCGATGATAGTAAAGTCGGTATAGGGATGAATATACACCAGAATGGCAGGCATCATTGAAGCAAACTAACCTATTGGCGCACGCAAGCGTACACAAAAGCAAACACGCTGCTAAAATTCCAACATAGTAAAATGCATATCAAGCTAAGAACCAAATGCATCCAACTCTCACTACGGTTAAATGGCAAATCTCGGGTGAATGAAGCAAGTCTGTCCTTGTCATGATGCAAGGCATTTTTCACTTAGGTTTACAGCATGCATCGGCAACAGCACTATTGACTGAATGCACAACCCAGGTAGTGACCATTACACGAATCGCGATTTCTTTCTTCAGAAAGCGCGGTAACATCAGTGGCCGTTACAGCCAAGCGAGATGGCAAACATTACCGGGATGTTGGGAATAAAATGCAAATGTCATTAAATGATCATTCGCGTGATAAAAGACAGTGCAACTTTTTTGCAGTCGAGTAAACATTAAGATATAAAATGATTGATTTGATGTTGTGTATTGATAGTACAACGATACTAGAAAAGCCCAACAAACCGATGCTTAACACTGCTATGGCAAAAAGTTCACGGGAAACACATTGCCAAACTTGAAATGACCAAGCGAAATTTCGCCCTCTAAACGAATTTGGTTACTTAGAGAGACAGAAGGTATATGTTCAGAACAACGTCCATACATTTTGCGTTCGAACCAGACCATCCATTGTGTCATCATTACCATCCATTGTGTCATCATCACCAACCACGGTGTCATGAGCATTTATCAATCATATAATGTCTTTATGCTTCTTACTTAAGCCTGGGACAGCAAAGATAAATGAATATCAAACCATCTGATTCAACGCTCGACAAGATCAGAAGGAAGCCTTGTTAGTCTAAATGTGAATTAAATCGTGCGATGTTTTTTAAGGACTGCATGGATCAGTTCGTGCTGCATCCACCCAGTAAATGTGTGGCGAAAAAACCACTCCGTGCAACACGGCAAATGGAGAGTTATAACCACGGTAGTTACGTTGCTTACCTTGATCGGCATTTTAAGATTCATAATCTCGGCGTATCTTGTCAAGACATCCCAGGGCGAGTGGACCTTGAGATAGTATGTCTTTCCGTCGCTGGAGTGCTGCGGACGACACCCAAACGTCAGGTGTCACGGCAGCTTGACTCTTGCCGCAGCGTGAATGGGCGGCAAAGAGGGATGGAAGGGCAGAAAGCGCCGAAAAGAAGACAGGGAGAAGAAAAGACGACGCTAAATTAAGCATATTCTTCCTCTGTCGCAAACGTGTGCTTAAAAGTCGAAGGCCGCCCACTGAGTGGATGCAGCGCAACAAGAATCCCCCACCTTTTTGTCCTCGAGCTCGAGTTCGAGTCCCTCGCTGATGAGGTTGGCCTGGAATGTTTTGCGCTTGTGGATCCTGTTCACATCGTCGTCCTCCCGGTAGGCGAGCACCATGTCGATCTTCCGCTTGTTGTCCCAGAAGAACTGCGTATCGATGCGACGCCGAACCTGCGCATGCCAGTGCACTTATAAAGCATTCAGGTCTCATATTTAGGCAGTGATGCATTGAGCTCCTGTTTTTTCACCCTTACTTTGAAGTTTTTCTGCAGAGTAAGTGACCTTCAGTATAACAGGACGTGCTGGTTAAACGCCATTATAGTGCCAAATGATTATCAAATTAGGCACCGACAGTTTAACCATTGTTTGGCACTATGACGTCGTTTAACCAATGCGTCCTGGCATACTGAAGGTCGTTAACTCAGCATTTCAAACTCGTGATGCATTTGGACTTCAGTAACACGCGCATGCGCAATAGCGTTTGCTTGCTGAGCCTGCCGTCTTAAGCCTCAAGGCAGTGTGTTTAAAGCCCAGAGCGTTTTTTTTGTGGCAGAGGCGTTCATTATAGACAAATTCCACGCTAAAATATGTGATGTGTGTCGTAACGTGTCCCATGACAAGGGTCGGTTGGACCAAAGCTGATTCTGCAATTGCAATAGATCGCGCATAGTTGGAGCTGGAGACGCAGCGGGTGTGCATCTGTGACACAGATTCATTGGTATGAAATGACATAATTAGTCAGCGATATGGTTGCGGGAAGACGTTCCTATTGGGTGGTGTCAGATTGTTTAATTAGCTGAGGCAACGAAAACAACCGTAAAATATCCCACTAAAACTAATAACTGACAAATACTTTTAATTCAAGAATAAAGCGAAACTTTTACGAAATGCGCCAGCGAGCACGCGCACCGTGAAATGTATCTATCGACTGCCATTTTCATAATGACAGCTCTTTTGAGTCGCCAAAAGCACATATGAGAACAGATCATCATCATAGTGCGCCCCCTATCTCGAGGCTCACGGCAAATATGCAAACCGTTGTTATCAGGGACGGATATTGCTAGTGAACAAGAGCAAACCATTCAGGTCTGGGGCCCGACAACCGCTAACTAGGACAGCAGTCTACAGGTCTGGCTATCAGCTGACCGTTGTTCAGAAAGACGCTTCGCCCGCCTCCCTATGCCTGCGCTAATCGCTCCTGGTGCGTCAAAATTTGTCGTGGGGGCTGATGGTATGCGAGGGTGGGATGGATACCCGAGCCAACAGACATTGAGCACATCCTGCGTATCCACAGCTGACAGCGTACTTAGCTTGACTCAACGACCCGCGACCTGTATGTACCAAGCTCACTTGGTTGTCTCGCTTTGCGCCTCAACTAGAGCAGAGTGTTCGGTAATAGAGGAGAGCGGGTCAGATGCGTGCTTACCTCGTGGTCCATTTCTATGGACTGCCCGAGCATGGCGTCCACGGATGCCTGCGGACCGCGGCCAAACCAAACAAGCGAGCGTTAGACAGATGACATGCGGATTTGGGGTCCACTTAGAGCGTGCGTGCGTCACGCGCAGGACGGGGCGTGAACTCCGACGGTTTCAAACGAGCCGCCAGAGCGTGCTTTAAAGGAAAATCGTGCAAAAATAATATTGGAACTGACACGAGGAGCAAATGATAAGATAGCTGCTTTGCGTGACCAGAACGGAATCACAGAACGTGCTAGATCACACAGATCACACAGAACGTGTTAGAGCGGAATCACAGCCAAAACCAGTGCGCGAGTTTTTCTTTAAAGACCAAGCGGGCGCGCACTCACGTGCAGCACATCTGTAGCCTTCCGCAGCACGTGCATCTCAGCCGGCTTGCTGTGCTGCTCCTGCTGTTCATCGGCCATGAAGCCGGGCAGCGAGGCGGCCTCCTCTTCCATGACGGCCGCCTCGGGGTCCAGGTTGCCGGCGCGTGCCGTCGATGCGCCTGACGACGAGCGACTGGACGCGCCGGAGGCGGCCGCTCCGCTGGCCAAGACGAGTCCGGCGATGTCCGCCTCCGTCAGCGAGACGGCGATCTCGCCGTTGGATGTGATCTCGTCCAGCAGCGCCTGGCGGTCTGAGGTTGCAGGGAGCGTCGGTCAGAGCTCAACCTGATTATCTGGGTTTGCAAGGAGCAGAGAGATGGCTGCCGGGTCTGAATATGTGGTATCACAGGGAGTGGGGGAGGTCAGTGTCGGGTCTGAACACCCACTGTTACAGGGGGCTGAAGGACAGTGCAGGGCCTGTAGATCTCACGACACTGTAGCGAGTTAACAGCAAATGTGTGAGGACAGAGGGAACTGCATAGGACAGCATCGACTGGAATATAGCAACAGCATTGACTGAAATACAGCAGCAGCATCGACTGGAATACAGCAGCAGCATCAACTGGAATACAGCAGCAGCATCGACTGCAATGCAGCAGAGGCCTCGACTGCAGTGCTCCGTGCCGGACAGGGTATCAAACGTCGAATGTAGCACTAGAAAAGCGTGGATAATCCGAAACAGAGTACCAAGGGCTACCTTAAGGTAGTGCGGAGCAGACAAGAAAGCAGAATTCCTTATGCAATGAACCGAAGAGGTTCTACGGAGTTGCCAAGATCTGCAGGACAAAAGAAAATACAGACTGGATGAAACCAAAATATTTATTACAGCCATTCGTACGAGGTGTGAGGGACACACTGACCCAGGGAGGGCGGAAGGAAGGAAGGTATATAGGGAGAGTCAGGGACCCAAAGACGGAAAGAAATAGACCGGGAGAAATAAAGATAACCACATTGATAGCAATCGAGATAGGAGAAGATATAGATATGCAGGGAAAGGGGAATGGAGAGGGAAAGAGTGCATGGGAAAGTGTGTGTGACATCGAGCTAAAGACGAGCACGCTCGCCAGTTGACCCCCCAGAACAGTACAAGCGCCACACAGGGGGCGGCGCTGCACCCCACGGTGCGGCGTCTGTACCGGGGACGTGACCGGCCGCTGTCCAGCACCCCGACCCGGACGGGCCCCAGCCTGGTCCAGGCGTCGCGTCCCGTCCTGCCCGGCCACACACACTCCACGCCGCGCCTCGGGCCTCTGACCAGCGCCGATCGTCGGGCCCGACTAACCCCGACGGTGCGTCGATTCCGGCGGTCGACGTCGGGGTGGGCGCGCGACCCCGACAGCCGACGACACTGCGCGCACGCACCCGGCGGCCCGGGACTCGACGGCATGCGGGTGACAGGTGACATGCGACTCTCGTGGTGTATCAGGCAGTGCCCGCTACAGATGATTCTCAGATGCTCGCTCGCACCGGGCCCACACTCGTCTTCAGCAGGCGCTGCCTTAAGCCACAACTAAACCAGAAGCAGCGACGAATGCCAGGTGTTTATTGAGTAAGTACTGGTGCCTGACTTCAGAAGCGCATTTCATCAGTGCCCGTAGTCAGTCCAGCCAAGAATAGGGATGGTAATGGGAATAGGTGTGGGTAATGAGTATTTTGCGCAAAAAGTAGTACAAAGTTCTTCTTCTTTATTGATTTGAAACATGTGGTAAGAAAACGAGAACACAACTAGTGACAAAGGCAAATGCCGATCAATTTCGCATGGGGCGCATGAACCAGCGCTATGTCATCGAGGTCTTTGCCGACCTTAACCCTTGCCTTGACAGGAGTTGCTTGATGAGCCCCCCTCCCCCCCCCCCATAAGCTTTTTTGGGGATATCCCTACGGTATGTTGTACGAGCGCACCAAACTTTTCGGTGACCTATGGGGCATTCATTGCATATGTTTTGACGCTACACACATGTCTCTAGCACTTTTGGCACCCGAGCAAAGACGTTTATTTAGGTGCCGACCTGCCGATCGCGCGCGGTGGACCAACACTGCGACACTAACGCCGCAGCGAGGCATAAATTTGCTCAAATAAGGAGCATGCTTGCGTACGGTTCATGTCGCGGTGTAACACGTTTTCTCGCAAATAGCGGCATGTGAAATTGAGAAATCTGAAATTTTGGAATATGGAGGTAAACTGACCTTTGATCTGGTATCATGGGGCCAATAATTGATTAAGCAGCATCCAATTTATTGTTAATCACGAGACCTGGATGAATCAAACCACAGGTTAATTTTCCCAAGCTCTACCTCTCTTAGTTTGGAAGCGGCAGGGGTAACATCGACACCCCCCTCCCCCCCCGCCCATTCGGTCTGTTTCCGGAACGGTAAGAGAGCGGAGGACGCGCTGTCAAGAAAGTTTGTCACACGGCGCCGCAGACAGTAAATGTAAGCTGATCAGCAATTATGATACAACCACATACTCGTTGCAGGAGTTGCGCGCGCACGTCACACGCATGGCGTGCCCCATGTCACGTAAACACTTTGACCTGACCAGAATATGGTTCAGCTGACGAACTTAAGCGTGCAATTTTTCTCGCGAGAATTATTCGCTCTCAATATTCATTTGCCAGAAAATCGAGTAGACTCATTGCTTGCAATGCAGTAACAATATTTTCCAGCATTTCAACCGATTGATAGCATGTATGTTGCTCATGAGAATAACACTGTTCTCAGCCAGCACATTCCCCAAATCATTTGTGGAGGAGGCTTACCCTGCATGTCATTTCAAATGTGCTTTCACATTCCATTCTTTGTTAGCATGCTCAACATCTTAATCCACCGCAGTGCAGTTCAGTTGTGTGCCCAGCTTACCATTCAAGACAGTGACAATGAACAGCACGTTACCAAGGCGACGGAAAACACAGCGAACGGTCACAGGCAAGACCGAGGCGAGACCGCTCAATACCGGTCCATTTTGCCAAGCCTCAGTCGCCATTGCCAGGACAACACTAGCGTCTGCCTGCACACGCCACGACGAAAAATGACGTCCGCGTTTGTCACGCCCGCCAGCCCAGATGACTAATTGCCACCACGTGAAACATGGCGCCGAGGGTCGAAGTGTTCGATAACGCCCAAATGTCTTGCCACGAACCTGTGAGCTTAGCTATCTACAGTCTATAATCCTCTACAATTTTATCACCTCGCTGGAAAACTTCAAAGGCCATCTGCGTTGGAATTTAGCGCCATGCCGTGTAAATATTTGTAAAGGAGAGAGACGCGCTGCTGCTTGCCCAGCGCCAAACCCTCGTTAACGTTTTGCTCGTGCATTTACTTTGAATCCGTCAAACGGCTTTTCTAATTTAGTAGGTATGACGGTAACGAGACACAAAAGACATGGGGCAAGGCTTTGGCGGTGAAAGGGTTCAAACTCCCACGGCGTCTCAATGACTTTCCAGCTCTAGGATAGTAGCCATCTGCCGCTGGCGTTTAACGGTTGCGAGCCTAAGCTAGAGGGAATTCCCTTTCACGATATCGTTACCATAGGACTTACAGCGTTGGCAATGTTCAAAGGCCACCGATAAAAACCCGTAATCATTTCCACAAGCCTGTCAAGATGCACACGATTGTAATTTCGGAATACCATATACACACACACACACACATATATATATATATATATATATATATATATATATATATATATATTGGCTTCAAAAACTGGCCGATGCCGGTTTTTCGTTCAAGACGTACGCCCATTTCCAGGAGGGATTACTAACCTGATCTAACATCGATAGAGCAATGAATAGTCCGCCTGATGCATGCTGTGGACATATCCGTTTTGCTTCACTTGAATATGTGGCGTTCCGTTCCGAGGTCATAATAAGGACCTTAAGTGGTCATGTCGTAATTGAAAAAAAATGTTGTCAACGATGGAGTTTGCAAGCTAAGGAGCACGTTTGTAAATGCAGACGTGCCAGCGTATTTTCCGCTGTCTGTTTATTCCAAACTTGTGTGGGCTTTTAGGTCTGGACGGACGGTTGGTCTCTTAGATCAAGGAAACATCACAACATTTGTAAGCTTGCATCAAGGGGTATGATATAGTCCACTCACCGCTGGCTGTCACTCTGAACAACGAAGGGTAACGAGGAAAAGCTTGATGCATTGATCATCCTTAAATCGACGCTGTTTCAGTTGGAAGTAGGTTGAACTGTATGCATTTGACATGTGATAGGTGAGTCTTCCTTATCGGGCAAAGTATTTCTTCGGTCTGTGGCATCATAGCTGCTTATGTTGCAACCCAATAAACCTCCTTGGCTTCAATGCGACGAGCTGTTCCAGCTACTTATTCTTCTAAAAAGCATTTGGCATACCTTCACCAGGTCAACGAACGTCATACACGTCTTATAATGCATTGCAATAATAATCATGACGCAGATGTTATGCAACAAAGAGCAAGGCTGATGCAGTGCACTCCAGCTGTACTCGATACAAAATGAAGCCATGATCACAGGCGGTGGCAGGGCAGCTCTTATGATCCATGCAGCAGCGAACAATTCAAGATCGTGACTCCGTTTAACCTTTGGAAGCTTGGTGTCATTTGCATGCCAGTACCCATAAGCAAAGAAAGTTGAAAATGAACAATCCAAATGCAGCACGTCTGCCATTAACTATGGCGCATACCATACTTACGCCTACTCGGTGCTTACTTGCTTTATATTTACCTGTCCAGTATAACCTTCACCGAAGAAATTTGCTTAAATTATTTTCACAATCTTCGTCAAAAGTATGTCGATGTGTTGCATCGCAATAACACATCCTTGCAAGAGTAATTGTCAGAAGTATCGCATAAAAATGTGATGCTTGACAGCTCGACCTCTGGTGACCTCAATCCTTTACCCTCAGAGGAAGCAGGACTAACATCACTGACATCAACATGGATGGTTTCAGAAAGGAACCAAGTATCATGGCTCAAATGTCAACGACTGAACTGTATTAACTCCCCTAACTGCATACAATTTGACCGCATATAATGCCCCAAAGGTGGCACGATCTCCTGTTAAGCCTATTGTTTGACATAAGCCGTGACAGCTTTCAAGCTTTTGTAGCATTAATCACGTGAGCATTTCGACAAATAAGTGCGCTGTTAAAATTACAGAACATACACGTTCATAAGAGGAAGGCAAGTGAAGTGCGGGACTTTCATAACGGTGAGCCGGGAGTCAGTAGAGATTTCTTCCGCAGAAGCGGCCACTTCAAGCTGAAACTCTGAGCTATTCAGAAGGGTTTCGAGAAAACCGGAAAACTAATCACACTGCAGCAGACAAGGCCTGACGCCTTGTCCAGTCCTTCGGTTCTTCGATTGAATGGCAGAGGACCGGGGCGAACGCCATCTGTACGACGGCTCGGGACATGCAGTGTGCCCGCCAGGTTTGATGAGACGCGCGGCCTATGGACACGCACGAGCGCGTTGTGGAGCGGCAATTATTTTAACGTTGACAATGGAACCATTAGATTATTGCTTTGTTACCATGCCAACTTACGTTCGTAGATGCACTTTCCAGGAAATGGAGGATGAGCCTGACCACACGTGTCCCGTGCTTACGCATCTGAACACCAAGCGTGCAACGAAAGTGCTAAAAGAGCATGCGAACATTCCCACGTACCGATCTCCTGATCCGCCGATTTGAAGCCCAACAGTTGAATCGGGGGTAGCTCCCGCATGTTTGGGCAGATCACACCACCCAGTCTGGCCCAGTGGCGGGGCGGCCTGCCCAAGACAAGACAAATCTGGAATCATCAGAAGCCTGACATGCAACGAAACCACAGAAAAGGTGACAGGCGGAAATCCATCGACCCCATGTTAGAGGACAGTGCTTTCTCTGATGAAAGGTCGGAGAAAATGGACGTTGGTGACACTCATTTGGTACAGGGTCATGAGAAGCGCCGGGGCTAGGGTGGCGACAGCCTCGGAAGCCTGGTGTCGATCGGATGTTGGGCGCCATAGATGACAACACTTTTCTGATCGGAATCCTATGAATTCTCACGCAGGGACCCGCCGCACAACGGAACGCGTCTCATCGTAAAGCGCATTCAACTTGTGGTTCGCACCAAATTTATCCGGGACAGAACAAAATACAGAGAGCTGAGAGTCAGCAGCCACGGGAAGAGAAGAAAGTGGAGAGCGGTAAGGCACAGCGACGCTATTGGTTGCTTAAGTGTACAAGTTTTTCATTAACTGGCTGCATTCAAGAGTTTTACTAAAACCGTCTCATTTCCACCAATTTGCGTCGTAACGCTTCTTTTATTTCTGCACATATTTCAAAATTGTATTTTCCATGATGATTGTGAAGAGGCGTCTCGCTCACACACCGAGATCAAATGCGTCGGCTGAACACCTCACTGATGCTAACCAATCACGCAATGGGCCAAACTAAGTAAAAGGATGCTCATCATCAGTACACCTTTTGGAACTGACACAAACAAACATGTCAGCGAGCAAAAGTAAAGGTCGATGTTTTGGTAATTCTCTCTACGAGACGTACCATTCAATGTGCATTAGGCAAAACACTCTCTTTCAGGACGCAGTTGCTACATGGACATTAAACTGGCATTACATGTTTGTGAACGCTTTGTCATTGTGTTATAGCACAAGTTAACGTCGAAAAACACCTGAAAAATCATATTTGCCTCTGTGCGATCGCGCTGCGCACAAGTATCGATCGTGTCCTTTCGTGCTTTTGTGTCCTGGTCCTCGCAACCTCGGGTGTTCTTTTGAGTGGCCATTGTCCGCCTCCCTGCCTGTTGACTTGGCACCCAACGGTAAGCTTGCCTCCCTCTCACCCCACTCAAACTTCTGGATTCTAAGTACAAGCATAGCACTGAAATAGGAGCTTAAAATCATATTGGTTTTAAAAAGAGCTTCTAGGGAATATGTCACAGCTAAGAGAAACGAAGAGTCAGAAAACTGCAATGTCGTGTCCAATTGCGTGTAGATGATTGAGCTCGTCTCATTTTAGGCCTCCGCGTTTTTCTCGTATTTTCTTCCTTTTGATGCAAGCATTCGGTTGGCGAGACTCCATGCCCCCACCCCAAGCTTTGAGAGGGAAGTGGGTCAGTTAAAGGGAAAACCTGTTTTTATGCGTGTTTGGATAGGCTTAGCTACTCTTCCCTGATCATCACCTACACTATTTTGCAGATATTCACAAATGTGATGGAGTTTTAAACATCATGACGCGGCGGAAATACCATCACGATAATACAGCATGAAGCCCACAGCACAGTTCCCAAAACAGAAAGCGTCTGGGTCAAGACTTAAACTGATAGAACTCGCTGTCAGGTTATCGGTATCTTACACCAGCCACATAGCAGCGTCATCTGCTTTTTTATGGATTCCAGCCACATTGAAAAAATTCCGCCGAAGTACGTTCTCGCGGTGGACAATGCACAAACGTAAGATGTGAACGAAACTAAACACGAAACAAAATGTCATCTAATCACCAGAACCTGGGTCATAGGCGCAATAATGCCATACACGATATCACACGTTGAAAGTGAGTATCCTCATCCAGTGAGAGCAATGTGGTGACGCAGCTGGTCACGCGTGTGTCAACTTCGGTGAGAGGTGTTTGGTTCGGGTCTGACTTCGGCAGGCTCAGGCTCGACCTAGACAGGCTCCCTCGCAGGAGATGGCAGCAACTGGGGAGTGGTCGCCGTGTCCCGGGGTCGACGTACGCTAGCGATGGTCGGCAGCGGTGGAGTCGCGGGCATGGCCGACTTTTCAACAGATGCTGCGGTCCGATCACCCGCCCCGAGAACATGGTCCCGCTCTGAGCCGTCCGAGCTGTCATCTGACCTGCCGGCTCCATACGTCGCCACAGGCCTCTGCATGCCTGCGTACTCTGGCGGTCATTCTGACAGCAAGCACGTGGCCAAGACCGTCTCGCAAAGGTGCCGGCAATGGAACCTCTGTCATGGGCGTGCACAGTGTCTGAGGTCGGCCTCGGTCATGGGTGGCTTGACCCGAAGTTTGCTGCACGAGGACGAGCCTGGCATGACGTGCGCCGACCATGCCAGGTGTTGAGCCCTTTTTTCGCTCACCCAGACTGTGCGCGTGGCCACTTTCCACTTAGAAAGCGGATACGACTCATCGCTGGTCGTCGTTATCACCGACGCTCCGAACCAGATCCAACACATGGATGTCGCACGCGGCTAGTGCAGTGACTATGATTCCAGATTCGCGACCCGACCGCTCTCCATCTGTCGGATGCGATTAAGGAGGATGAAGGATGAGAAGGATTAAGGAGATAAGGAGGATGCGATTAAGGAGCTCGTGACGCAGCGCTGTGCCTTTTGTCACACCAACTCTATGGAGAGGCAACTGAATGTTGGGAGCGTGCAGCCAGCCGATGCAACCGCTGCCAATATGTCCAGCGACGAGTCGAGGCGGCGAGGCCGGGAGGCCCGCGCCGCATTACCTGCAACATCTTCAGTAGGAAGGAGCCGTTGTCAACGGAGCTCCCAGGAAAGCTGGCAGGTCAGGTCAACGAAGCATTCGCTAACATCGAAAGGAAGACCTCCGACGATGTCCTGGCAGCGACCCGGCGGGCAGAAAAAAAAACTGTTGTTGCACGAGTGTGCGCAGGTTACTTTGCTTACGGCCGGTTACCGAACATGCACTGGAATCCGCTATGTCATCAATGAACACCAGCGGTGCTTATGGTTGTGATGATATTAAACTCCATATTGCTAATGTTTTTCTTCTTGTTCTTATTCCGGCGTTACTGCGCATTATCAACAGCAGTTTTGCCTCAGGGATACTACCATGTAAGTGGAAGATATCTCCTTGTGGATCAATTTGTAGATCTGACCATGTCAGGAAGCTGTAAACCAGCCTCGCTCATTCCTGCAGTGTCTAAAATGGAAGAGAAGCTAGTGTGCGAGCGGCTTATGACGCATTTTGCATCGCATTCCATGCCATAATATCTCGAGCAAACATGGGGTTTATGGGAGTAAGATGTTTTGTTTTTACATTTTTAAAGGTCCGTTCTGATGGACTGTTATCGTGATGGTCAAATATACTGTGAAAAATCCGTGATTTTTGGCAACTTTCACGACTATGCTCCGCCTTCCCACTCCCCCAATTATTTTAAGAAATCGTCACACGCGGTACTGCAATCCACGGTTTTGCAGGAACCACCTTGACATTTAACAGGGGAGTTCCACGTGTTTTGACATCTTTAATTTTTGGGCGAAGTGTCACCAATTCAGACCATTGACCAACGTGCCACCAACTCAGACCATTGACCGAGTTGCCACCAATTCGGCCAATTGACCAACGTGCCACAAATTCAGACAATTGACCAACGTGGCCTTCCATCAATGAAATGCGTTTCACACGAAATCCTAGCATCGTTTGTTTTGACAGCTTAGGTCACCACATTTCTGTATGTGGCGAGTAAAAGCTATTCTCATTCAAAAGATGGCGCCCCATGCTTTTCAAAATGCCCCCTTCAGCGCCCTGTGACCACTCAGTCGTGAGTTATTTTATTTGCAAATTAGCATCGACCGCATCGATGTGTCACACCCTCGGGCGTAAGCAAATATTACAGGTTGCAACGTTCCGAAACGAGTTCTACGGAGTCTAATCCGCTTTGATGGTGTTAATAGCGACACAAAAGCTATCTGCCCAAAGTAACTGCTGGGTTTGGAGCTCATCGGCCCCAGTGCTGGTCACGCCGATGGAGCTCGCGTCACGTGACCAAACAGGGACATAGCCGCTTCACGGGTGATCACACGTTTCCCCGGAGCCGTGAATTAGTTATCGACTCGGGCCGCTCATGAAAGCAATCAAATCTACTGACGTCAGCGTACCTGTCATTCTGCCGCAACGCACATCGACCCGGTATGGTGCTGTCGAACGCGCTCGCACAGGTAGGCCGCGGATCTCGCAAGGCACCGCCGCCTGGCACGGCAGTTCACCCCAGCGGGGTACACTGATCTGCCGTACCAAATATTATCAACTGCTGTTAGCAGCAAGGGTTCATACACTGACGCGAAACGAATAACACTAAGGCTATCATGATGTGTACTTCTGCGCCCGAGACACTTGTATGTCACGAGCGTGTAGCTCTTACACTGTCAGTGACCGGCCTTCATTGTGCCAGGAGATGCTGGTTAAATGACGCTCTCAAGCAAACATTGCTGGCATTGCCAACGCGTAACGCTTCAAGATGTGTTGGTGGTCACGAGCACAGAACAGTTTGAAGCGTCGGGTATTGGCAAGGGGTAGCATAACCGATGCCTGCTTGATGACGCTGTTTTGTCATTACCTCCTGGCTCCTGGTGCATTAGAGGTCGATAAGTGTCAGTTTAATATCTCAGAACTCATAATGCTGAAAAACCAGGAATAGAAGACCTTGCCACCAGCCTTGAGCCTTGAACCAGGACTGTTGAGATTTAATCCAAGGTTTTGCTTACGCCGAGCAAGATGAGCGTATTTCTATTATATAACTACAACGTCCATTCAATCATCTATTTTGGGTTACATCTCATTACTTATCTATTGAGAATGCACTATCTAAGTTAGATATCTTGGTGGCCAGCTGCCACTAGTACCCATATGCAATCGGTAACAGGTGAGGTTCGAGGGTACAGTTGGTAGGTATGGCAGTGGCCACGACATCCGACATTGAAATTTTCAAAATTTTAGCATTTTGTCATTATGCTTGTTGCGGCAACTCAGCGCCCTGCCAGCATTTTGAATTCTTTGCCGGAAGTAACTAACTGGATTGAGCAGGGGCCTTAGACAAATCGTTGGTGTAAGCACGAATACAAGCTCACATAGGCTCATCAGGCATGTGGGATATTCACCCGACATGTTTTTCATCGGCCTTTTATCTTGAAGCTCCGAGAAGTTTCACAACACGCTGCTGGCTGGGCACTCCCGTTATAATTGTCTGCCTTCATGTGACTGTAGCATTAACCCTTACGTGAGAAGTAAACCAATGTGTAGCGAATATCGTCACAAAAATTTTAACACCCGCCTGGGTGGCGGGGTCAAATTGAGCCCCCTCCTCAACCCCCCCCCCCTCCCGACGGTTTTTTCCAGAATGGCCTCTGAACGGCGCGGCGTAGCCTCACCAAACATTGCATACCTGCAGACAATTAAGTAGAAAATCGTGTGGTACCAAAAAATGGATGTACCTTGTAAGGTCGCTGAACTACAGCAGGTTAAAGTCAGGCCATGGATTCAGCGATGGCAATTTCTGGTGGATCGTTCGACCTGACGGATCAACGGACTGTTAAGCGAGACCACAAATATCTGAGATGCTTTCTTAAGCAACACAGCAATAGAACGACCAAAGTTCATTGACTGAGGGTCAGGTATGAAGGTCAGACCAAGATCAAAACTAACTTGTTTTATAATTCTAGGGTTTGCTTTGTGGGGTAGTTTATGGTGCTCATTTATAAGTTGTTGATAACAGGAACAGCATCAGACATCTTCCATGAACTTTTTAGAGGTCAGAATAGGTCACTGACCTAAAATGACCCAATTTAACACGCCTCAAATGCAAAAATCAACGCAGTCTTCTACGATTTCGGTCACCATGACCCTCAAAAGGTCAAACAAGGCCACTGACCTTAAATGAGCACGTGACATTCCGATAAAAAGCGGTATCTAGGTTCTGGCAACACCTTGAAGACCAATTTAGAGCTTAACCTTGTTTGACCTTATTTTACCCAATGGTCATGGCCTAAGAGCTTCAAACTTTGACCTACGTGAGTTCACATAAAGGCCAATACACCCTGCGAGTTTGGCGCTGCCAGCCCTTTTAGTTCCTGAGATCCCAGCGGGGGTCAGGAATTTTAAGAAAATACTAGGCATGGCAATCAGCAATTGCATCGGCCCAGGGCGCTGGAGGCCGGCTATCCTTGTGCTGCTTACATCGGTGGCGTGTGGAACGACGGGGCTTTGAGGATCACTTCATTCAAAGGTCATTCACCGTGCGTCATGTTAAAGCATGTAAACTCAGTGGACTCTGCAAGTACTGTAAGCAGGCTCTGTGAGTCCGATAAGCAAGTTTTTTTTTAAATGTTTGGTATGAGGAGATTTGGTATTATGCCTGCTTCTAAAAGCATTATCTTGCTCGCAGCCATCTAACAGATTTTTTTGACCAAATTATACATATTTACAAACATGTTTTTTAAGACTCTGCGAAACGTCCCTTGCCGAAAATCGCTGATAAAAAGCGTGTGGTTTAAACATGCGCTGAAAAATGGTTTAAAGCGTTTTTTACCGCAATCCTTTGTGAAAACGGCTTTTTAACTTCACACAACGTTGCGTAGCAAAGGGGATTTTCACATAAGAGTGTTTGCCATTGTCGACAAGCATAGGAGCATACCTGGTCCAAACTCTGGCCATTTTTTCGTCCACCAAAGCCGAATCATAATGGCATGTTGCTTAAAAACTATCTTTGCGAACACAGTCAGTTTGGGGGTCTAGCACGGCAACGACGGCATTTATGACGTTACCAGGATTTTCAAAAATATGACGTTGCAAAACACAGACGATGCAGGCACACTGCTCACAAGGACCAGGTGCAATCGGGGAGGGGGGGGGGGGGGTAGCATTGCCAAATGTGTGATGACACATACAGTCACCTGAAATACCCCAGGTAAGAGCGTTCATCTCCATAACGGCTGCTGTGAATTGACCTTCGGCTTCAGCCCAGATGAACCCTGGCGGTTGGCTGACGTGGGCCGTACGATAAGCATATCAGTGTTCTGACGCAATGCCGGCGGTTGTTTCCATTGAGGCTGTATTTGTAGTTGTCTGCACTGAAAATGACTTCAATTGAAGGGGTGAAAAGTTATTATTGTCCGTAATGCATCCCGCAGTAAACTCTGATTCGCAAAAAAAACTGTGGAAGATTCATGATTGTCACAATTGTCATGCAGTCTTATGTACCACTATTCGTCATGTACTGTGTTGTAATCATCAATGATGTCCGCAGACTACGTTGTAACATTTATCCCCACTGCCTCTTCAGAAAATGAAAAGCATGAAAAGCCTTTCATTAGCGTGAAACGTCGGCGACTTTATCCCTGGGTTCAGCTAGGCTAATACCTTCAAGACGCGTGACTGGCCAGAACGGGCGTCGCCAGGATCTGAGAAGCGAAGGTGCTAGCCGATAATGTGGAGGCCGAAACGCTATCGAGAAAAATCGTCGAGGCGGAGAAAAACTGACGTTTTGAAGATTCACACGTCAACACAACAGGACCGTGCGAGCCACTAGGGGTGTGGATGGGGGAGAGTGTCATTGGGACTTTATGACGCACTCAGCTGCGGAGGCTATATGACCTCGCCTACCTCCCACGCTGGCAGGAAGGGCGGGCACCACAGGGAATCGAACCCGTACCTCTGGTCTCCCAGACGCGCAGTGGTCAATGCAGAAACATTAACCACTACATTACCGGCGCCCTCAGGGGGAATGGGAGAGGCACGTAGGCCTCCAGGATCTAGGATTGTTGGCAACACCCAACTGCCTCCTCCTTGTCGCTGGGCCCCCCGAAGTCCCTGTGGAAGTGCCGCGAGTCGGCGGTCCACTCACCTGTTCGCCTCGCGCCGAGCACCGCCTCCGACCCGCGGCCCGGCGGCGGCGACCGACTGCCGGCCTGGCCTGTCCTACCGCCTCTCACGTCACCAATCTGGCTCGCAGCTCCCGATAGCTGTGTTTGCCGGCGGCGAGGAGCGTTCGCCCGGCGCGCGCGCTGACCGTGCTCGACGGCTCCCGGCACGCCCGGCACGCGCCCGGCATCGACGGCCGACGACGCGCCGCCGCTGACCACGATCAGTCGATTGTTGACGCGTCCGACGGCAGCGTTACTTGGAGACCGAGCGGCTCGAGGTCACGGCGGCCTCGGCCACGCGAGCCCCGCTCGTTTGATCGCGTGCTGTTCTGTCAGACACGGTATGATCTGGGTGACCGGCCCTCGCGGTCAAAGGGGACTGGTCAGCGAGCAAAGGAGGAGCGCTGTTGTGACGTCACTTGGCGCAGAGCTGGTCTACAACACTGGGCTCTACCTTCCTATACCTACTAAGCCTGTTTGCAGCCGTCTTCGATCGACTGACACAATCGGCACTCAGTGCGCGAAAGAACGGCGTCTCGTTCCACCGAATCAAGACAACTATTCATATGCGTGGAAAATCGCTCACAGATCGTGACCGTGCGCCATTGGCTGAGCTTTCAGTACGCTCCCAAGACGAGCAACAACATGCAAAACAAAGAGAAAAATCTCGAACCGGCTCTGCATCGAGATTAAATGGCTGATGTTCCTTGTGTTCAGTGCATCCCTGTACTTATGACTTTGACATTGTACAAAACTTAAAGCAGGTAACTGTCATTATGGCTGGTTAACGAACAAGTTTAGATGGAAACTAAAATTGAGGCTAAGACACTAGCACGCGCATTCGGAGCTCTCTGAATCATCGTGAGCACCAATTCCACCTTGATGGTTTATATAAGCGATCCCAGTTGCCCCGACCTCACCAATTTTGACGATATCTAATTGAGAAGCAGCGCTAATATTTTTTAGGTCAATTTGTATATTGCCTTAACACGCACCCGGGTGGCCAGTTGGATGCCCTTCGCTTGGATGGGGGTCAATTTGACCGCTCTGAGATCTCAGGTACTAAGAGAGCTAGCCACCAAATTTACAGGGTGTGTTGACTTGTACGTGAACTCACTTCCGTCAAAGTTTGAGATTCCTACGGTATGATCTTAGGGTCAAATAATGTCAAACAAGGTCAAACTCCAGGCCGGTCTCTAAGTGCCCGCGGACCTAGATATATGTTCTAAGCAAAAGGTCACATGCTCATTTAAGGCCAGCAACCTTGTTTGACTTTTCGAGGACATGGTGACTAAAATCATGCGAGACTGCTTTAAGTTTTACAGTTGAGTAAGCAACAACGATTACGCTAGACAAACTACTTTTAAGTACTTGATGTTAACTGGAGTCTTTTGAGGTCAGTGACCTATTCTGACCTTAAGTAAGTCCACGGAAAATGTCTTATGTGGTTCGTGTTATCGATAAATTCTAAATGAGCACCAAAACCTACCCCATACAGCAAACCACTGAGTGACAAAACAGTTTGGTCTGGGCCTTGACATTCTGTTGTTGCATCAGAATGAGCGATTCCAAGAAACTGACTTCGCTGAATCCATGGCCTGACTTTGACCTGCCGTAGGTCAGCGACCTTACCAGATGCGTCAAAATTCTTTGGTACAAACAAACCGCTATTTAATTGTTTATAGCTGTGCAGAATTCAGCGCAACTACGCCGCGCTGTTCGGAAACGATGCTGGCAAAGCCTTCGGGGGTTAATGTGACCCACACCTGGGCGCGTTGAAGGCAAATTGTTATATACATGTATATGCATATATATATATATATATATATATATATATATATATATATATATATATAGCCATCACCTGCTTGATGGAGTAAAATCTATATTCAGAGGGTACCAATATGCTGACAAACCCAAGAGAAAACGCTGGCAAGCTTAGAATCAATTTTTTGTGGCACAGTTACACAAATTGTACTATTGGATGCGGCGTAGTGACTTACCGAAAGCGAACAAGCATGAAAGATATGAACCATGAGCATCATCATTCGCGGGTCAACAAAGCTCACAATTTCCCATCGTCGCCTGCTGACCCGCAAAACAGGTTTGTCAGCTTGCGATGCAAGGCATACTCGTCGATGCCGGCAGTCAAGGTACCGAAGGCAGATAAGCGAAGCACACATGATGCTGATGCGCTATGTCCCAGTGGTTAGCACAGGTAAAGCAATTTACTTTGTTGGCCGCTGTCACACAATTAAAAGAAATATGTAACGTAACCATCCTTCATCTAGATATCTGTTGCAAAAAATATGTCACTCGCTTTCATTGCATGCCAGTAACCTTATTTGAATTTTCATGCAATCCAAATAAAGTGTCCGTGGGCACAAATATTATCAAGAAATTCGCACTGACCGTCAATGACCCCATAAATCAACTTCTCCAGGAACGAACGGTTTTTGGTCTTAGCCTCGGTCCGACCTTCAAACCAGACCCGAAGTCAAAGGGGGTTACTAAATCTCATTTCGAGGTCTGTCTGGTCCGTCTGTCTAGTCTCTGTCAGAGTGCCGTCATAGGGTTGTATGGGTCGCACGTTACATATTTTCTTCCTCACTCGAAATGCTGCTCTTAACAATTACTTTTTAAAAAATTCAGCTAGCAATATGTCGGGCCACCATTTTTGCTGCACCAATATTCGTGAAATCCGCTATCTCGGCAATTAGTAGCGTCAGGGCGTGGGCAGTTTTTAATATGTGGCAAGGAAAAGGAGCGCGTGGTCAAGACTGTTGATTACCAATACGGTATAAGCCATTTGAGTTTGACATCATTTTAAGAGCCAATTACTTGTCTGAAGTGATCAACATTCGGGCTTTATGGCATTATATCTTAGTCATATGACATAAAAACTCTTCTTTTTAAATGACGGGTGCTATATTCGTTCTGGCATCCGATGGACAGATAGCATTGCGCAAGTTTGTTCGGTAGAAGGTATGCGTTTTAGGACGCAATTTCATGTGAATGAAGCCCATTCCAGGAAAACGCTGTCACTATTGCATTTTCACCATGTCGATCTGCGTGTTGTTTCTGGAACTAACTCACTTTGCAAGGAAAATCTGCAATTTGTTTGATATGCATCATGTTAGCAAAATGTGTGTGAGGTAAGGATTGCACCTAAACATACCTGTTCCTGCGCAATCAATTGCGCAATTGTAACTAAATAAGCGTATTTTTTAGTCACTAGCTAAGCATTACTTTTGTAATTAGCCATGCCCACTCATTCGTTCTTACTTTTCTCATTGTGCTGCACTTGCAAAACAAAAATGCCAGTATTTTTGTCAGGATAGTAATCCAGCGGCATCCAATTTTAGGGTACTGGGTCCACATGTGACGGTCCAGGCTACCTCACCGACTGGTGAGCTACCCAATTTTCGCATAAGGACTCACACTTGGACGTGTGACAGGGACAGCCTTGGCGAGAAAAAGCTGTATTTTGCGCCAGTCTAGCGTAGCATTCATAATTTTGAACCCTGATATTGGAATTGGTCAAGGTTTTTAAATCATGGCTTCTCACGAGACAAAAAAAAAATATTATGATGCCCGATCGCAAAAGACAGTGCACTATTGGACGAGGCGTAGTCGATTTACCGGGTCAAAAATTGTGGCCCTTTCGTGTCCAGAGTATCATGGCCCGTGAGTCAACAAAGCGAAATATTTCAACACTTGGTGCCTGGCACACCAAAAAAAAACATCCCAACTTGCTTGAATCACAACGTAATATATACAAATCGATCCGCCGTGGTCCATATCCGTGAGAAAAAATGTGTTGTATATGTGGGTCAGAATATCATAAGCCAGCGAACAGATGTTAACCCTAGGAGACAGGAGACATGCCATCTCCTTAACTTCCCCAAATATTATTCTAAATTGCTATTTTTCCGCACAACACACGTTTTACGGTTATCAATTCGCGCGCATAAATTACAGGTCAGGCCTTCCACCCAAATTCCAATTTGAACACGCATTTCGAATTTGTTCCCCGAAGTCAGAGATGTTCTGAAGTCATGAACGTCCTAGCCCACCGGTCAAAAAGTCCAAGAATTATCCAAACTGTGTGAAAGACATCTTTCACGCATCAACAATAAAAAAACACAATTTCAAACAAGGTTGACCGGTGGTTTGCGACGTTAATGGCCATGCGCAATACGCGCACGTGTTTCTCATAGAAATGGACCACACTACGTTTAATGGTGTGCTCATTTACAAACATATCACTGACATCTGGTTTTTGAGCGAGTCAGCTTGCAAGTATCCCCCTTTCACCTGGGCTGAATGGCGTGTCCGCCGGAGTTTGGGATTTTTTTGTTTTTGCTACCGCAGCAATTCACAAAATTGAACCAGTCGTAATGGAATACACCTGAACCGCCACAATCATGATAGATAATGGTGTTTTTATTCCTTGTCTTAATACGATTATCGAAATTCAAATATTTGCATGGAACTATCAACATTGATGGCATTCAGTATTCACAGCTTTTAAATGATTGCATTGTTGTTTACGCTGTTCTTTACACCTTGGTCACTGTTGTTTACACCTTTGCCTTTGCCGGTGACACAATATTATGAGTTCAAAAGCGTACCAAAAACGACTTGTCCTATATTCGTTCTTAAACTGTTATTGTGAAATCTGCTGCCTTGTTCTGATACCGCTCATAAAGTCCTCACTTTGTTTCAGAATTCAGTCAGCTCGGAACGAACTTACCCGTCATCTGGCGTAACGATGGCTAGCATCGTTTATGGGACTGTTTGGTATACCCACTTGAGAAGTGACGGTGTATGTCAAGAACTTAAGTACGTGATTATGTTTTCTAACCACCGATTGAAAATTTGCATATCTGCTAACCACAGCTTGAGAGCGTATTTCGCGATTGCGCCGGTGGCACGTATCGAGTTAGTCCGTGGTGACAACATGGACAACAACTCAACGCCTGCCATCTCAGCAAATGTCAGTCCAAGCACCCGTCATAGCGAGCGTGGGATAGCAGGAACGGCTCATTTTACTAACAATGAGCACCTAATTAGTTTTGCGATCATGTAGTTAGAATCTGGCTACTGCACTGGAACGTATACAAAATTAAACAGCCAACACGTCACTTCGTCTTCGTTACTCCAATCAGCACGTGAGGTTGTGCCACCAATCATCTGAGCAGTCCATCAAGCCGTAAAAGGGTCCATACATACCATTGACTTTGACATGTCGGCAATATTATTCAAGGATGAGCCAAGGAAATCAGTGAACGTTATTCACTAACGGTATGCAGAAGTTAGGTCACAGTGTATAGTCTCAGTAGCCAGGAGTGCACGACGTTTGTTGGTGCTACAGATGCTCGATATAACCACAAAGTTCCGGATTCCTTCTGCGACGAGAACACAAATTTTAGATGGCTGGCGACCGCTCCAATCTGCCTAGAATACAATAAACATACAAAGACAGCTATATACCTTCCCGGCACATTATCATTAGTTCACAGTCACGCGTGCCGGCACAGCGCTCATGAGAAGCCGGAGCTGGACTCGAGCTTGACACGTACCAACACTAGCACAAATGGGCTATATCATTACATGCGTTGTCCCTCACACCGAGTAGCAATAATGGACAGGGCTCAATAGCAGCTTGGTGATGTTTCAAGCATACAGAATCAGCATCACAACAGTCTTGCTACATGAATACCACACATGTGCCCATCAAATCAGTGCCTTAAACGGCTTGCTTACACTGCCCCCTCATCACTGTCCGTATGCTCTTCAATAAGCGGAACACTGGGAGCGACTGTCTGCGTCATTCGCCGTGGTCTCGAACGGTACAGAGACGAGCGTCTCCTGTCGCGTTTCGGAGACGACCCGCTGGCTGCTTGCGCTGCCGCCAGCTGTATCTTTATGTCCGACGTCGCCTGAGATGGCCGCCGCTCACTGCCGATGCTGGGCAGCAGATTTGAGTCAGGTGTCGGTGCTGCGACCGGCCCATCGTCTGCTGTAGATATGGTTATTACTGGACCAGTCCACTTCGCCGGCATTCCGTGGTAGCTCATAAGCATTTTAAGGGGCTTCCTGGACGGGAAGCGACCATGGAGAGACTTTGAAGTCAGTGGATAGGAAGACCTTTTATGAATGTTCCTCGTTTCAAAGGTAGGAATTTCACGTTTAGGGAAGGCTTTCATCTCGGTGCTGAACTGATGATGAAGGAACTCCTCATCACTCTGCTTATGTGTTGCTGCAACCAATGCTTGCGTCATCACAACCAAACTAGATTTCCTCTGGTTAAGCCGCGGGAACTTTGTACTTGCTGAACGGCGAACGGTCGATGCTGAGGGTAGTACTCTCTTTGAAGCTCGCCCATCGACCGGAGATGTGTCAACTATGTTGTATTTTGAGCGCAGGACTGGGTATTCAAGCAGTGCCTTACTCATGAAGGTAGAGCGTGTTGCTTGAGGCATGATTGGACTGTGGTAGTAAGGTTCTTCAGACGAAGGTACTTGGACTAGAGGCATCGGTCTTCCTAAAAACTCCCACCTTAGGCTGTAGTAGACTTCGAGAGGGTAAATATCTTCGTTTATCAATGGTGGCATTGAAGGAATGTAAGGTAGTTTACCACACATCCACAATAATATTGCGACCAACCAATCAATAAGCGCCACAAGAGCAATGCCCAACATGAAACTAAGCGTTCCAAGCACCTCGGAAATGAATTGTCCCGAGTCGTAGGATTCCGTAACCTTGAATTGGTCCAAAAGGTTGGATACAACTATTGTCAAAGTGTGTGTAAGCTGAGCCGACGGAACATGGTTTACGACACCCATCACTTTCATCAAAATGGTGTGCTGTTCGCATTGCGCAAGACATGCGTGACGGCATTTCGATGTGTTTCCATAGAGTACTTGCTTGGTAATATTGACCGATTTCTGGACATCTGAAAAAAGAATTTGTTGTTAGATAGTTGAACACCGGTGCATATCGACAAAACAGCTCAGCAGTGGAATGTAAAAAATCACTGACAACTCACACTGGATAGATGCATCCGTGCCCACACCACGGAATGCAGTCCAAAAAGCAAATGTTGCAGTCGTAGAATATTTTTTGTTAAGCATCATTGGTAAATAAAAATATATCCTGTCAATCTGACGAACCTGCCAGGTGTCACCGCAATCATGGCAGGTTATGACCATTTGCTAGTGTACTGGAACACAGTGAACCGCATCAATACGAGAGGGTCAGTGCATATCCTCCGAGCTTTTTACGTCTTCCCAGCCATGAATTAAACTATATCAAATGGTTGGCCGCCTAAATTTGCAATCTTTTCACACATGAGCCGCAAGTTTTATGTTTCTCCCCTGTGAGGTCACCGACGTAAAACCTCGTTATCACATTATACGCGTATGAGATATTGAAACCACCATTTCCAGACTGTGCTTAACTCTGTGTCCACAAAATCCTCTTGTCAAGTGTCTTTGGAGGTTTGAAATCATAACAAGGACATCAGTTTTTGCGATCTTCTGTAAAACTGTCTGCAGTCAAGCTTACATCAGGTAAATGTTACATGCAACACTCCTGGTTATTTATGGTCCAGGTCATGTCAGGGCAAGTGCTCAGAACCATAAAAAATATTCGAGACATTTCCCACTGCACGCCACGATATTCATGAAGATCAAAAATACAAGGTGGACATGGGATCTGGTAGATCCATCCCTCCAAAAATTGTCTTGAATAACTTAGTAATTATTAACTAAATACCGGTATTTCATTCTAACAAATTTTATGCCCTTTAAACCCATTCTGACAATTTTTCAGCAACCTTTCCGAATTTGTCGTGACGTATGTGTTAAGGTGGGGCTCACATTTTGTTTCTTGTTATATGATTGCGTGCCAAGGCACAGAAAAGATATCCTGGTCCAAAATACCTGTGCGTATATATATATATATATATATATATATATATATATCCCACCTCCCTAAAACACCCACAGAGAAGTTAGCCAACTGTCAGAAATCAAGCCCAGACGCCAGGGACCACACAGGTTAGACAGGCGGCCGCTGAGGAGGAAAAACGAAAACAGGACAATCACCGGCGCATGGGGATGGAGAACATGGCGCCAGCTGTCGGCACCACAGCAATATGCAGTGGCTGACGAAAGAAACGCCATAAATTATCTTAGCACTATAAAGCCAATGGGAGAAGGATGGGAGCGACTTCGGCGAGGCGACCGGCCGTCGGCGCAGTCGAGAAGCGGGTCGCTAAGAGAGGAAGAACGGCGGGACCATAGCGTGTCGGGGAGAAGAGTTCGACGAAGAAATCAGCTCGACGAAGAGAGCACCTCGACACATGCCTCTGACCAGCGCACTACTGTTGGCTTCCGGCAGCGCCCGACCCTCTAAAGTCGACAAAACAATCAAATTTAAGTCGAAGAACAGAAACTTTGAACATCAAATCTCCTCTCCTGTGTCCGCATCCTGTTACCGCGCGTCCCCCGCCCCCCCCCCCCCCCCCCTCCCTCCGACGCCGTACACCTCTTCTTCTGTGGCGCATTCTTTAGTATTATGAGCCCGGCGCGCGGCGCTATGTAAATTTCTCGTTAATAAACCATTTTTTTAATAAACCATTTCGGGCGCGGGATGTGTGCGTGTTAGAGGGCCGGGGTCGGCAGGGTATAGCAGGATTTAGCAGTGGTAGGAAACCGGTGGCGGGTCGCGTTACCTGAGGTTATGTCATTAGAGCTATCGCGGACAGGAGGTGTACTGCATGCAGGTAGACGAGCACCGTGTGCATAGACGTGAATGGGGATTAGGTTTTAATGCGGCTGTTGAGAAAGTGATAGTTTTAAGAAAGCAAGCGAGTGATGGACGTGGCGTAAACGAACTGTAATCAAATCGCGTATCTGGATCTAGATAAGATGCGTCAGTAAATTTGTAGCTTCCGCGAGTATTCACGCAGTATTAGATTGGAAGATGGACTGCTGGTCGGACAAAGTACGTTAATTGCAGCGCACGAAGTTCTTGACATAAATCTGCTGTAAAACGTATACTCCGATTCGCCAGTGATGGATGACTGGCCAAAGGCTCGCGGAAAACCAGGGTTAGGAATGACGGACTTGTCTTGCTTGTCACGAACCTGATTACTTGCCATGCGCTTGGCTTTTGATGTAGCTTGGTGAGACAAATGACGCAAATTGCACACCATTTTTTGCATCATTGGTCAGTAATTTCGGCAATAGCATGCATCTTTATAAATGATTGGAGCAGTAAATTTTGAAAAAATGCAGTTGCTTGATTGCAATGTGCGCTATTGCATGTCTGTATAGATTTGGTTAAAAATAGCGTGTACCGCAACGCATTTCATGTCACCGGTCAGATCATTAAGGAATTAGCATGAGCCCCCACGGAAAACTGAGATCAGACAGGACTGACTGTGGCGTAACACCTAACTGTTGTTTGGGACGCACTTGGTTCTAACTGCAATTTTGGAACAACTAACTTGCGTTGAAGTTCATTCTATCTCAACGGCTTTGCATCATGCATCACATTGAAGTAAACCAAAGCCCGCTCGAAAGCCCGGTGAGTGGGACAATGCATTTGCATTCATCATCATGCATTCATTGCATTTGCTTTCATGCTCAGCAAGACCTCAATAAATAATTCGGAGCATGATCTTTGTAAACGTCTGCAGGATTTGTCAGCAAGGGAATGAATAGGAAAGGGAAATTAGTTCAGGGCATATGAAAGCAGCCTCCAAGTGCAATATTTTCTCCATGACCTCTAAACAATAAGGAAGAATCAAGATGAACATGCCTACAAGCACCATGCGCCGCGCCCCAAATTTAAGGATCGTGCGTTCGAAACCTGATCGGACCGGAAATTGCTTTGCCTGGCCTATTTGAGTTACTTTGCACTAATTGTCAATGGCCTGTTCACGCTATCTGTGAAATACGGTATTAAATTCCTTGATAGTTTTTGCGTAGAAATTGCGGGCATGTCATCGTTTCAACGTGACATACATAATATGGCGTGACACACACGTCAGTGGGCGTGTAAGTCATGGCAATGACACTGGAAATTATTAATCGGGCTTTTTTAGCCGGGCATTATTATTCTATATGTCGCTCTGTCGCATATGTCGCTAAGCCGTTATGACTTGGATTCATATGCAATGTATTGATCATGATCTTCGGAAGTGATTGTAGAATAGGGAGCATGTTGGAGAAACGTCACAAATTATTTAACTTTAACGTCAATGTGTCGTGGCCATTCTGGCTTTTAAAGCAGCTCATTTTGAAGGAAATAAGCATCCCTCGGTACTGTCAGGCTACCGCAGATAAGCTAAAGATGCAATCTGGACACACTTCTAACAACCTAGCGGGCGCATGGGGCCAAGGACGACTTTGCATGCAGGACCTTCATGCCCAGGATGTTTGCCGACATTGATGATTTTACGGATAAAGGAGGTAGGACTTCGCACTTTCAGAGCAAGGGTGATCACGTCGCAAGGCTGACCTCATTCAAAAGGGAGGGGACGCCACTCTCATTATACAGAGACGGTGCCCATAAGACTTCATGGAAGATGCGAGTCATGGTGGTCACAGGTTTCATGCAAAGACGTTTGCCAAAGCTGCCGTACTCGGTAAAGACAGCACGGATGTCGATCTCCATTCTTCTGTGAGGGTCCTCCCCCCCCATATTGAGTTGGACCCCCTCCCCAATATCAGGTTGCCCCCCCAAAATGCTTTTGGTTGGAATGCTACAAAAAACGTGGGTAAGAGATGATCAAAACAGCAAAACCATCTTCTTTGACCTTTCTGCGTAGTGGCGTCTCGCACATCTCTCATATCAAAAAGTCATGGCGGCTCTCACCACAAGATACAGATCGTAACAGCTGAGCAGATAAACGATGCAACAAACTTCACATGCCTAGCGCCATAAGACACGCGATAGTTTGTGAGGCCAAAGTGAAAAATTATGGCATATGGGGATGACCGAAATACTCCATGCTAACCCCCTTCCCGCCCCCTACAACCAAAATGCGTGCCGTGTCCCATCATCGCCATCGAAGAGCGCCATCGGCGCCCTAAGGCGGCTTCTAAAGGGGCACCTTCACGTGCCGAACAGTAGAGACGCGTGCGTCCAGTGCCTGCTCCGTGGATCCAACCCTGCATAACTTCTATACTGCTTAAATTGAAAACTTTTTATAAATTGTACAAAGATAAGGCATATATTGCTTTTAATCACAATAGAGTGGGCAAAATCCGGTGAGAAAGAAGTAGAGGGGTCGTTTGCCGGGCCTTGGGTTCAATTCCCCTAATAATTCACAAAAATTGACACACCTGGAAGACGACATAAAATCCCCGCTAGTGAGCCGTTCTTTGTTGGCATTGGGGGAAGGCGGACTATCCTTAGGGCCAGGACGCTACCTGGTCGATACTCAGGATGGAAAGCCACTACGGGCTTCAGGACAGCGTATTGGCTGTACGCTGACGTCATGCTCTTTGCCAGCCGAGACTGGCATAAACGGTCCGGATGGTTCTCATAAGACAGGGCTGGTGACCACTAATATTTGTAGAAGGTGCGACCCGGCGTAGTGCTCACATGGTTCTCGTAGACACGGTTACGAAAAACGTGCTCGGCGAAGACGGCATAAGATCTCAGTCAGGTAATACCCGTGTGAAGGGCAGGCCTTTTTTTAAGGGCAAGGACGGTGCTTGGACGACACTAAGGGCGAGGGCCTCGTGTATGGGCGGAAAAGACGTCTAGTTATACGCTTTTGCCCCTCACACGAATGAGCCCGATCGCCCCGCGTGAAAGAGCCCGAGGTGCCAAGACGAGGAGAAATGAGAATTATAAACGCGTGTTCAAGATACCTATAACATTAAATTTGGCAGTATACTAGGTGACAGTACTCCGCCCTGACCCTGTATGCTAGTG